TATATATATATATATATATAAAGAGAGAGAGGGGAAGAGTTTACTTTGCAAACCATCCATTTCATACAAACCTTACAAACTAATCACATACACCCATTTTTTTGATAAAATGTCAAGATTGAAACAAACTAAATAAATAAAGTAAATAAGTATACTTCCACTATATATATATATATATATATATATATACTATCTTATAATGCATTTGGCTCAAACTCTTAAACTCTTAAAAACAACTTCTGTTGCTTTAAGTACAACCTACTAAAGCATACTATCTAACCACCCCCTTCCTAAACCCAATCCCGCGTATCGCAACCCTGAAATCGCCCATTTTTTGGCCCCTATTTCCCAATCCCATTCTTACGCAACCCTAATCCATCCCAATCGATGAAATCGTTTGAATCCCAACCCAATCCCGCGTATCACAACCCTGAAATCGCCCATTTTTTCGCCCCTATTTCCCAATCCCATTCTTACGCAACCCTAATGCATCCCAATCGATGAAATCGTTTGAATCCCAATCCCATTTTTTTCACAACCCTAATCCAATTCGATGAAATCGGCTCAAGATTTGATCTAATCCAATTCGGTACATCGGCTGTTAATAAGCCATACGTCTGTATCGAGTATAAAGATAAAAAACGTATAAACAAAGTTGCTGAAGGTGAGATCTAATTTGTGTGAACGATTACTTGTATTACTTCAAAGCTCTGCTCGTAACCCTCACCCATATATCGTCAGGCTAATTGCTCTTTGGTCTGTTTTCAGGTTGCTTAGTGTGTTTCGGTACATCGGCTGTTAATAAGCCATACGTCTGTGTCGAGTGTGGAGATCAAAAACATATAAGCAAAGTTGCTGAAGGTGAGATCTAATTTGTGTGAACGATTACTTGTATTACTTGATCTAATTCGTTAAACTGAACATGTGCATTAACTTCATGTCGATCGTTTTTAACTCATTTTTTTTTGAAATTATATCTTGTGGCTTCACAATCTCTTTGTTTTTATTTTGGTACTCGAGAGATTTTTCCATTTGACTGAGATGCATATATATATATATATATATATTTGACATGTTCTTCACAATCTCTTTGTTTTTTTCGTTCGTAATCGCAGCGACCGTAAAAGATTGCAGTTTATAGGTTCATATTTAAGTCCATATTTCTCTTTACACTACTTACAACTATATGACCTTCTGTTTGCACTGCTTCTACATGACTGTCCCTGGTACCTTCTATTTGCATTGCTTTGCATTTGTTATCCAAGATATAAATTTTGACAGTTGGGTATTTGGCAATTTGAGTTTCAAAAAAGTTAAAGGTAAACCGAGTTAAGTTACTTAAATATATAGTTTGGAGATGTGTGCAGGTCTGTATTTAATTGTCTGTAAACAAAGATTTTCAACTTCTCAAATGTCACTTAGAAATATGGATGTGTTCAGAAGTTGTTTTACCAAATGCAACTGTATCTGTCTTAACTGTATTTGTTGTTATAGTTAGCATAAACATCGATTAGGTTGCCGTATTTGCTATTTTATAGTTGTTGTTGCTGTTTGATCACATGTTTAGCATAAACCTCAAGTAGGTTGTTGTTTCTATCGCTGTTGCTGTTTGATAGAATTTATTTTAGGTTTGCTGTTTGCTGTTTATATAAACCCAAACACCTTGTTGTTTCTATTGATTTTGGTGTTTCCTATAGCTGTTAATTGTTGTTGGTTCAATGATTGGTTCAATATATAGCTATAATAGCTACTGTTTTGTGTTTAAAACACTTGGTTAAATAGTTGGTTCCATTTGGGTTTATTCAACAATTATTAAACAGCGCGTAGTTCATCCTCAGGGTGTTAAGACCTTATCTATATCTATACTTACTATCTTATAATGCATTTGGCTAAAACTCTTAAACTCTTAAAAACAACATCTATTGCCAATGGTACAACTCATTAAAGCCATCCCTAAACCCAACTTCTTAACGCTTTCATCGGCCCTAAACAGTACTCTTATTTATTCAAATTGTGAAATTAGTGGTACATGAATGCAATGGTGTCTCGTGCTTTTTGTACAACCCATACTGTAGATAACTATCATACAACCAATTTTATGACATGATTTGTTCCCAGGTGCATAGTCAAAAACCAGGTTCCATATTCTAACATGGTTCTCTGTTTTACTTAAATGTGAATATTTCCATATTGCAACCATTTAGTGGCATGCTCAAACATGCAGACTATTACAGGTCATAGTGTACAGAGGTATTTGTGTGATTATGTATAGAGTAGTTAGCAAGTTGTTATTTTYGGTTAGAAGTAGTTATCCTTATGGTTGTCAGGTTGATAGTCTTTGTCAGACAGAGTATACATACAACGTTTAGGACACTGGGTTCATTAATGAATTTCAATCTCAATTCCTCATGGACAAATTAGCTGCACAGTTTGCAGGTAACAAGATTCCTTTACACCATCAATGAATATGAGATTTATGCTTTTTAACAGGAAAAAAAATATAACTACACATAGTAATGCAATAGTTTACTGTGCACACAGTCATGTAAACAGATTGCTGCTTTGTAAGTATCCTTTACAATATCAACTAGAACAGGGGCAGTGCAGGTGTAAGTTCACATATTCTTCCAAAAAGTAWMTGTCGTGCCATACCATCAACTAAATATACTCAGATATGAAAACTCAAGACATCGAGCTTACTATTTTTTCAATCAGCAAAACACAAATGCACAACGCAGTAACTACCTGTGAATCTATGGTTTCCCTCTATAACATGTCAAATTAAGAGGTACAACCAACTTAGAATATGTAGCATGGTTATACTTTTTTCCTTTTTCCTTTTTGTTGGGAGAGGGGGACTCTGAATTTTTCAACAGCAATTGTTTCTTCATCAGGTATAAACACATCTTGAGGATAATGACTACTTAAATGGACTGTTAAATAGATGCATATTGTTGTGTGTGTGTTGTGTATTGTACTTTAATCACCCTTTCTTTTATTTTAACTTGCTTTAAAATAAGATATAACATCAGTCCCTATAAATTACAATTAGATACACGATCAAATTTTAGTTGGAGTGAAATTCAGGATACCTTAAACTACTGAAATAACATGGAAGGGCAATGGTGTGCCTGCTGTTTTTTTATTACATTCATATCAGTAGAATGAACAAAACCCATTTAATTCATGTAAATGCTCCTGAAAACTTTTCAGTTTTGTGTGCTTAAAGTTTCAACAGCAGCTGGTTGTGTTAGTGCTCTTACAGTTTCAATAGCAGCGGGTTGTGTTTGTGTGCTTACAGTTTCAACAGCAGCTGTTTCTTCATCAGGTATAAACACATCTTGAGGATAATGACTACTTAAATGGACTGTTAAATAGCTGCATATTCTTTTGTGTGTGTGTGTTGTGTATTGTACTTTAATCACCCTTTCTTTTATTTTAACTTGCTTTAAACTTGAACCTGCACTGTCCCCGTTCACATAACCATATGTTGCTGCCATTTCATCTTATACATACACATAGAAACAGAAACAGTCTAGGTAGACCTAGAAGGTGGTGTTTATGGTTACTATCATATTAATTGCAAGTAGCTACTTGCACAATGGTAGACCTTGCAGAGTTTTAATTTAGAGCTAGGTATTGACCAAAAAGAAGGTAGTCTAAGCATACTTAATGATGCAAGTATTAAAGTAGGGCCTTTGGATATCAAATTGGGAGCTCAATAAAATAAGATATAACATCAGTCCCTATAAATTACAATTAGATACATGTCACCTGCTATTTTTTTATTACAATCATATCAGTAGTTTTTTATTAGCTGCACAGTTTGCAGGTAATAAGATTCTTTTACAATATCAATGAATATGAGATTTATGCTTTTTAACAGGAAAAAAAGTATAACTACACATAGTAATGCAATAGTTTACTGTGCACACAGTCATGTAAACAGATTGCCGCTTTGTAAGTATCCTTTACAATATCAACTAGAACAGGGGCAGTGCAAGTGTAAGTATACAAAGGAGCACAAAGAACCTCACCAATACGATTAAGCAACACTGTCAAACAAATACTGAAACAGACAATTGTAAATGAGACTGCATTCTGTTTTTCATCCTTGGTTTTGGACAGAGCAGGGTTAAATCCAAGATTGAATAGGGCTAAGTCCTTAGTTTATTAAACCCATTATGTTAACTGTATTTAATCCTTGGTTTTGGATAGAGCAGGGATAAGTCCAAGACTGAATAGCGCTGCTCTGTGTGTGTATAGATATAGATATAGATATAGATATAGATAGATATGTATGAGGATTTACATTAGCCCTGTATAACTATATAACTGTTGGTCTTTGCTCCTGTATAACTATTGTTGTGTGCACAGTGTGTGTGTGTGCCAAAGCAGCAACCTAACAGTTATGTGTTGTAAATAAGGGGTTGGTTACTAAAATATTGAGTCAACCCTAAAACCACTGTAAATGAGTGCACCTCTTACAGCAAGGCAGGAAGCAGTCCAATTCAATATATGATTTTATTTTCTGAGATTTTGTGCCTGCTGTTTTTTTATTAGAATCATATCAGTTTGGACTAACTCGGATGATTTAGGCGGTTGCAACTCACCTGGAAAGCCAACAGCCCAAAGGTACGACTAATATTTTTTCAGAAAATTATTTATTTGAATCTTCACTTGGGTTAGCCCCAGGGGGGGTGCTAGACAGATGGTTCTGCATGCTTGGCCACAAAACTATGTAGTTTACAAGATAACTAATTATTTACCTCAAAAATTCCACCAACTGAAATTTTATAGCAAGAAAAAGGCATTGCTTTATTCACTAGGACCAAGGGAAGTGACCAATCTGTACTGCTCGATCTGCTTGCTGTTGGTTGCAAAAAGGTTAGGATTGTGTTATTCACTCCCCAATCTATGTATTTCTTCTYGGTTCTTTCTCTTATATTAATGTGTATTTTACATGTGACAAAAGGTGTATCATCGTCAATACCTTGCTTTTACGGTGTGGTTTGTTCTCTTTCAATTGACAAGGTATGTACAAAGACATGTGACTTCGTANTGATCAACCACTTTCTGGTTACAAAAACAGATTGTAAATCCCTAAACAGATAACATCAATAATACTATTATTAAATTTTGCAATTTGTTTACATCAAGAWWGAAGAAATACCTCATTCTTGGCCATAACAACACATTCCTGGTGCCAGGCATATTGAGGTTATGAAATTCCCTCATTTTGGCAGCAATTAGTGTAGATATCTCAGGATCACGAAGATCACAAGCTGATAATGTCTGAAACCCATGAAAAGGAATCAGYTTTCTTAAGTCATCATTAGAGTACGTTTAACAAATGGAAAAGTAATTAGTATATGCATTGGAACTTTCAGTGTGCATAGGTATATTTACATTGCTTTCTATGCAGTTTGGTTACTTCATCTTGATCTTTCAGACCCTTTAGAGTTTTACCTTAGCATGAATGAACTCCTCCACCCGGCCTTGAGGAAACTGGCTGAGAAGGCGAGGGCCATGCCCATGGGTCGAAATGGATTCGAAAGTCCGGATTTCTTCTTCCCGATCAAAGAAAATGTCAGAGCCTTCCCCATAAATCCGAACTAACACTGTCCGTTCATCATTTCCAGTGGTGTTCCGTGGCCAAGTGATTCGGTAAACCACATTAGTCATGGCACCACTTAGATGAACGACTTTCAATTTGTTTGTGTCGAAAACATCACCCCAGTTTGAAGCAAGTGACAGCAGTAACTTCAGCAGTTCTTCGGGTTGTGTGCCTTCAATGAATCCATTTATCTTCACGGCCATCAGAAAAGATTGGAAATGCTTCTTCTTCCTTTCAAGATTGAAAAAATATTGGCTGCAAAATGGAGTAAATTAGACTGTCATGATCAAAAGTTTCGGTAACATAAAGAACATGAAGGTTTCACACAGAAATGCAACAAATCAGTGTAGAACTGAATATAATGAAAATCAGAAGATCAAAGAAACCCAATCTTGGTTAACAGGATAAACCAGAAGAATTCAGTCCATGAAACTTTGACTTTTGAGATCAAACAGTCCAAGATTCAACTCTATGTTAGCAGATAGTACAGATTCAAGAAATGCTGGATGAAATCATTCAGCATCAATTTCGACTCCAGAAAGTCATAGGTATGAACTACAGAATCAAAATTCGCAACCAAATATCATAAAAGTTTTTCCCAAGTTCTTTTACATCAACTGAGAACTACAGAGCATGAAAAAAATCCTTGAAAGAAAACCCAATTCGCATAAAGATCTAATTGCTTCTGTATCTCTTATTCATCTTCTTCTCTTTGGCTGTACATAACCTTAGTAGACATTTTTTCTCCACCACCACTGCTTTCTTTGTTTCTATTCCAGTTCTGGGAAACAAACAAAGCTAGATGCTTTCTTCATTAGAAACCTCCAACAATCACAGAATATGCAAACTCTACACAGAAAATGTGCAGAACCCAACTAAGTATTTATTTATTATGTTTCTTGGGTATTTGTCTGAATCACAGCAGGAAGAATTGGAGATGTGTGCAGGTCTGTATATAATTGTCTGTAAACAAAGATTTTCAACTTCTCAAATGTCACTTAGAAATATGGCTGTGTTCAGAAGTTGTTTTACCAAATGCGATTGTATCTGTCTTAACTGTATTTGTTGTTATAGTTAGCATAAACATCGATTAGGTTGCCGTATTTGCTATTTTATAGTTGTTGTTGCTGTTTGATCACATGTTTAGCATAAAACTCGAGTAGGTTGTTGTTTCTATTGCTGTTGCTGTTTGATAGAATTTAATTTAGGTTTGTTGTTTGTTGTTTATATAAACCCAAACACCTTGCTGTTTCTATTGATTTTGGTGTTTCCTATTGCTGTTAATTGTTAAATAGCTGCATATTGTTGTGTGTGTGTTGTGTATTGTACTTTAATCACCCTTTCTTTTATTTTAACTTGCTTTAAAATAAGATATAACATCAGTCCCTATAAATTACAATTAGATACACGATCAAATTTTAGTTTTTTTCTTGATGGAGTGAAATTCAGGATACCTTAAACTACTAAAATAACATGGAAGGGCAATGGTGTGCCTGCTGTTTTTTTATTACATTCATATCAGTAGAATGAACAAAACTCATTTAATTCATGTAAATGCTCCTGAAAACTTTTCAGTTTTGTGTGCTTAAAGTTTCAACAGCAGCTGGTTGTGTTAGTGCTCTTACAGTTTCAATAGCAGCGGGTTGTGTTTGTGTGCTTACAGTTTCAACAGCAGCTGTTTCTTCATCAGGTATAAACACATCTTGAGGATAATGACTACTTAAATGGACTGTTAAATAGCTGCATATTGTTGTGTGTGTGTGTGTTGTGTATTGTACTTTAATCACCCTTTCTTTTATTTTAACTTGCTTTAAACTTGAACCTGCACTGTCCTCGTTCACATAACCATATGTTGCTGCCATTTCATCTTATACATACACATAGAAACATAAACAGTCTAGGTAGACCTACAAGGTGGTGTTTATGGTTACTATCATATTAATTGCAAGTAGCTACTTGCACAATGGTAGACCTTGCAGAGTTTTAATTTAGAGCTAGGTATTAACCAAAAAGAAGGTAGTCTAAGCATGCTTAATGATGCAAGGATTAAAGTAGGGCCTTTGGATATCAAATTGGGAGTTTAATAAAATAAGATATAACATCAGTCCCTAACAGTTATGTGTTGTAAATAAGGGGCTGGTTACTAAAATATTGAGTCAACCCTAAAACCACTGTAAATGAGTGCACCTCTT